AAAAAACGGTTAAATATGTCATGAAATAAATCATGAATCGTAACGCAAAGCTGCGTTCGTTGCGTGACATATGCATTGAGTACCCATTACAATTTACCTCGTTGGATGTTGGTCTTCTTTCCTCTGAAAGTCGATTAACTTTAAACAACACCCCTTCAATCCTATGTTCTTCTCTCAAAACTTTCTCTACAGCTACAAAATAAAGAAAGAGACACATGAAATTTTTTTATGAACGGTTCTCAGAGTTTTCTGTTCTTTACTAGTTAGCATAACAGATCCAAAAGTATTAACGAATCTTATATTTCTTTACGCCATTTTCAGCATCGTGTTGCCAATACGAAGCGCATTTATTGTGCCTTCTTAGGAGGAGGGCACAATTTCCCTTTCTTTCTAACTTATCATCCCATTTTGTCGTCTTAACAATTCATTCCCGTTCAGTGCGACAGTTGAATTTCTTTGAAACCATCGTTCACACAACAGATAAATACAAAATGCTGCATGTGTAAACTACTCTTAGATGAATTTTTTTCTCTCTAACTCTGCTGTCTCAGTTAGCAGAGTAGCCGATAACTGATGGGTTCAGTAAACGTTTTCGATATGTAAACTACACGTGCGACGAAAGGAAGGCTAATGTGTTTCTTTCGTTCTTGCACTTTAACATTTAGCATATTCGCTTTCAAATTTCACAAAATGCGATTTCTGCCCTAAAAAATTGCAAGTGTTCGATGATTAATACAACAGAACGAAAAGTTATATAACAAAATTAACTTACTCTCTTTCTCTTCAAATGTAATCACTGCTTTGTCTCCGTTTTTCGAGAATTTCACAGATGATACGTCGCCGCCGCCATGTTTACGCTCCTGAAAGTGAATAACGATAGCTTCATCTTTGGTTCCTGGAGTAATGCCTGAGACTAAGATGCTCTTTGCAATGTCTTCAGGACTAAAGTCTATGAGACTGGATAGATCAGAGGCCATAAAGAGTCAAATCAGCGGGGGAATCGCTTTCCCTCACGGCTGTGTTGAGAGATCAGTTCAACCGAATCTTCCAGTAGATAACGTAGACTGTCTCAAAACAAAGGATTATAAAACGCCGAACTTTGTTGTTAGATTTTGCCACGTAACCTGGGGAATCCCCGAGTAATGGAGTGGTTGCAATGTAGTAAAGAACTTTGAGAGCAAAAACTATTCAAATTCTGTGATAAAAGGACTAAAACTTATTCATTTGATACGCCACTGATTTTTGTATGAGTAAACACAGTTCTCAGTAATGATGCAAATTTAACTTTCCGAAGCTTTTTATTCTCAGAATTTGCACAAACAATAACGAAATATTCTGAGAAACATAACAAAAGAAACAGGGTGCAGCTTTAACAAGCCAATACCGAGCCAGCTTAAGTCGTGGTAACCAATCAGCTTCCTGTGAAAACGAAACCTTCCTTCTATTTAGAAAACCCCGTTTCTCGGAATAATTTGCATTTCCGTCTCTCTTACAGGATCGCACGATGTTCTTGTAAATCATAAAGAAAAATGTTTCGATCTTGGGAAACTTAAAATGAGTAGTTCACGGATTTTAGTCTCTGGTTTTCCAGATGGAACGAGCGAAATAGCGCTAACGATATACTTCCAATCGGTGCGAGAATCTGGAGGAGGAGATGTCGAAAGCATCGAAATTGATCGCAGAACAGCC